GGCGGGGCCCCGGCGCAGCCTACGGACGGGCGCCAGCGCTCGGGGTCACCTTTGTAGTGTCGTGTTAGTGAAGGGTTCCTGTATCTGTTGTCTTGGAGAAATAGGCTTTTAGCCGAGGGGCAGCCCTGGTCCCCATCCCGTCCCGGGGTTTTTTTGGGGAGGGGGTGCAATGTGGCCGGCTCCGCGGGAGCTGGGCTAACGGTTATCCTGACTGTTGTGACTATGGAATAAAGTGTGTTGGTCTGCAGCCCACGGCTCCGGCTCCTCCTGTGCCGCCTCGCTCCTCCTCCCAGGGGGATCCCCAGGGAATATGGGGGTTCCAAGGGGATGTGGGGTCCCCAGCAGCCAGCTCCCACCTTGATCCACCACGGTCCATGGGCTCCCACCCTGACCCTCTGCTCCCACCCTGACCCTCTGCTCCACACCAGCCCACAGGCTCCCACCCTGAGCCCCGGTTCCATGGGTCCCCACACCGGTTGTTCCTGGGGTGGGGGTCCTGGGGACACTGGCACCCCCTGGAGAAGGTTCACCCCCCTCAGCCAGAGCAGGCTGGGTGTCCCCAGGAGCAGTGCCACGCTGCTGGGGAGTATGAGTGTGTGCACGCGTGTGTGTGTGTACATATGTGTGTGTGCACATCCCCCTGCGTGTGTGTGTGGTGTGCAGTGCGTGTGTGTGCATGTCAGGCGTGTGTGTGCAAGCTGTACACGTGCACATGGTGTGTAAATGAGCGTGTGCTGACCCCTGCTCCGTGCACACACAGCCCCATGGCACTGTCACCTCCACCCACGGTGGGGGTCAGCCCTGGTGGGACCAGAGCGGGGGTGTTGGGGTGCTAATCCGGCCCCATAGGAGGGCTTGGGGGGGAGGCCACGGGGGGCATGCGCTGCTTACGTCACTCCCCCCTCCCCCCCCCCGTGCTGTTGCCACGGCAACAAGGGGAGCCCAGAGCATCCTTGGGTACCACCGGCCCCTCCCACTGCACTGGCCCCATGCCCTGAGACCAGGGCCGTGTTGGGGACCGGGATGTGCCCCGGGGGTGCCTGGGGGGTGGCTGTGCTGCTGTCACCCCAGCCCCACGGAAGCTCACGGCTTCACCTGCTCTGGGACAGCACCCAGCACCACCCTGGCCACAGTCCCAAAGCGGGGACAGCACCCGGCAGCGGTGTCCTGACCGCAATCCCAGCCGTGGGGACAGAGATGTCCCCGCAGGGTGGCACAGCACCCCCCAGCCACGGGACCAGACTCCTGCCCGAGGATGCCACCTGGCTTGGGAAGGAGCGGGGAGGCCTGTGGGTCTGGTCCTGCCACGGTCCCAACTCAGCAGCCAGCGCCGCTGCCCCTCCTGACCTCACCATGGGCCGGGGCCACGAGGCTGGTGCCCGGTGTCCGGCGCTGCCCACGCGGGCACGTGCACACACAGGCTGTGAGTCACACACGGCAGCTGCACGCAGCGTCTCGCCAGCTCCGCAGGCAGCAGCAGCTCCCGGCCTCACAGCAGGGACCCCGCTCTCCCCCACCCCAGCACCCCCCCTGCCCCTGCCCTCCTCACCCCACATCCCCGGGGAGGAGGACGGTGCCGGGGTTGCGTTGAAGCTGGGGGCTGGCTGCCCACCCGTGGATGGTGCCCTGGGATCCCTTCCCAGACAGCAAAGGAACCGCTGTTGGTGACAGCATCGGGACAGAGAAGGATGTTCTAAGGCCTCTGTCCCCCTCCCCGAGGTAAGTGGGGAGCAGGCAGGGCTGGGAGGCAGGGATGAGGGCAGGGGTGAGCCCATGTGGGGACACGGAGGGGATGCAGGATGAGAGCAGCCCGGGGAACGGAGTGATGGCCACCACGGGTGCATCGGTGTGGTCTTCGGGGTGATCCTCCCCCTCAAACCTTGGCAGAACCAGGCTGCTTTCCCCCCCCGCCCCCAGATCCCTGCATCCAAGAAGGGATGGAGGGACAAACACATCCCCGGTCCCAGCCGGTCCCTCGGGGCGGTGCGTTCCCCCCGGCGAGGCATCTCTGGCGCAGGGCTTTGTTCAGCGCCGGGGCCGGCACCGAAAGGGTCCCGGTCCCCCCCCCTCACCCTCCTCCGGGCTGACATTTCCACTCACATCCCACCCCCCCCCCC